TCACTTTCACAACGAAACAGCGTCACACACCGCGGCCTTGAGTGAGCGGAGGCCGGAGGCCTAGAGTGACCAGCGGACTAGAGTATGCGGAGGCCAGCTTGAGTGAGCAGAGGCCAGCGGGCTTGAGAACGGCGCTAGTGGAGCGGGAGCGGGAAATGGTGAACCCGGAGCGGAGCTGGAGCCGAGTGATTAATGAACGCTTGGAGTGCGGAGGGGAAATTGTTGCCGCTCCACTCTGCTCACATACTCTGCCACGAGGTGTGTTTTGGTCATACCTGGGGGTTTGGTTTGTTTAAGGGAAAGTCCATTATTAGAGATTCTTCATGCTGACGCACATATAGCTCCCCACGCATTGTCTCAAACATCAGTACAGGGTTGACATTTTCTGTGTGATGATATTGTACTTTTAGAATAGTCACAGTCCATTGTCTTTGGTTAAATATTAATGTAAGAACAAATGTTTCTTACTTTTCATGTAAAAGAGCACTGCTGCTGAGGCCAGTGTTGCATGTCCACATAGTGGCATCTCACATGTGGGAGTAAACCAGCGTAATCCAAACCTTGCACCTTTTAAAATATATCAAAACCAAAAGCAAACATGTAAATCAGAGTTGATTGAGTATTTCAACATGCATCTCAGCAGTAGAATACCTGAGGAATAATCCATAGAATTCCGTCTTGTGATGAAAGCAGTCTCTGATAAATTCATCTCAGCAGCAATGCTCTGATAAAGATCATCTCGCAGCTCCTAAATGTATTACAGAGAAACATTTCATATTCTGATCTTTATAGCTGCTAACATGTTTAAATTAGTGCTGACAACTGATAAAAAAAAAAAATTGCCATTTTTTTCTTGAAATTAATCACAATTAATCCCACCTAACATTAATGTTTTTAAATATACATTTCAATAATTTCACATGTAATCTTCAAATAAATGTAGAAACAACATAAAGACAGTATTTTAATATTTGTTTAGTGGCATCCTTTTTATGACTAATGGCGAGTATCACTGATACCAATACTACTACTGATGTCTCTATGAAATAGATTTTTCCCCCTAATATTTCACCATTGACTATAGCCATTCAACATTAGCTACAGTATAATTGAGAGATATAAATTTTAACATAAAAAAATAACAACTAATTAAAGTGAACTTAAAACAATTTTCACATAAACCAATTATAATAAAGCAGGTAAGAAAAATACAGAAATTGACTAAAGTTATCACACACTAAAATCTAAATTAAGTATAGCTGAATCCTTAAAGCTACAAAAGTTACTGATTTCCTCTTTTTTCTTTTGTTCTTTGCAGACATCACAACAGCTGGGTCATTAGGTTTTTTGGCTGCTATTACTTTACTGCCGCTGCTGAACTTGACGCGGATCTGACACGCATGGTATTTTCTCACAACTCGAGAGATGGTCCTCACTGCAGAATACAAGATCCAGGGGGCGAGGTTGGATCCAGATCCAACTCCTCCCACGTTACATATACCTAAACCTACCCGTCTCCACCCCCTGATCCTTAAACCCACCCATCTCCACCCCTAAACCTACCCATCTCCACCCCTAAACCTACCATCTCCACCCCCTAGATGTGGATCCAACCTCGCCCCCTGGATCTTTGTTCTGCAGTGAGGGGCTACTGCAACTCGATACTATGGAATATGGAAGACCGTTAGAACCAAAACGTGTGGTACTAATGCGTTAACACATCGCGTTAACACGCAATTACGCGTTACCATGCAATTACGTGTTAACACGTAAATTGCGTTAACGCGTAAATTACGTGTTAAGCCGTAATTACGTGTTAACGCGTATCACACGTTTTGGCTCTACCAGCCTTCCATACGAGACTGAGGTCTCTGCAGAGCAAAAGTGGGTGTTTCTGACTTTGTGGGTGTTTTCAAACTGCTGCGTTTTCTAAATCATGCAATGAAAATGATGCCCCTTACCTGACCCCACCCCTAAACATACCGTCACTATGACGTGGGCCAATCGGGTAATGCCCCTCTGTTTTGGCCTCGCCCACTGATCTAGTAACTCCCATTACTTTCCTGCAGAGACCTATATTTGTGGGGAGCACAACTCTTTACCTTTTCTGGCATGCTTCAGGCCCTAAAGTCTCTAATGAACTGACGAGTTGAATCGGGTGTGTTAGATGAGGAGGACAGTACTGGGATGCTCCAGGACAGTTTTGAAAACCACTGCATTTCAGAGACATGTTCTTAAATCTGACTCATATATAACAAATACTAACATGCATGCAAAGTTTTAAGGCAGCTTTAATTGAAATTTTTTAATGCCGTTGAACTGGAAAAATTGCATGCGTTAACGCGCTAATTTTGACAGCACTAGTTTCAACAATCAGAAACTAAAAAACATAAAACTGTCTTGTGCAGTGTAATACTTACATTCTCTATAAGACATACTGCAGCAGGATTACCTTTGAATGGTAAATTAGTAAAAGAATCAACTGTAAATATTGGAATCTCCATTGCTTCTACTCTAGAGTAAAACAGCTGTAACGAGTTTAGCGTGACATTTAGCAAGTCATAGTCCAGTGCTGCTTTGAGGCTTGCTGAAACTGACCCCAGTAGTGTAACCCCCCTTTTTAAAGTTACAGGCAACACGTAATTATAAATATTATTACACAAATTAATTACATGTAATTACATGCCGGTATTTATTTATTTTTTGTTTACACTTTATTTTAAGGTGTGCTTGTTACAGTGTAATTATACATTTAAGTACCGAGTAATATTAATTAACTACATGTACTTACTATATGGTTAGGGTTAGGATTAGGGTTTGGTTTAGGGTTACTTGCATGTAATTATGCATCATTTATTGTTATTATCATAGAAAGTACATGTAACATGTAACAAGGACACTTTAAAATAATGCGTTACTTTTTTAAATATTAATACGAAGTAAAATGTATGGACACAATAAGTGCATTGTATCAAATGATTCATTAAAACGTTAGTAGCTACATAGTTAAACGACACTTGTTGATCTGGAACCACCAGTTGCAACATTAATATTTGCATTGTTGCATTTTTCCACTGTCAACACAGTCAAAAACTGAAAAATTTCCATTATTACTAAAAAAAAAATATTTTCTTCACGACTGTTATTTAGGAGGGAAAAATCGAAGGGAGTGTTCTAATTAGCTTCACTAGCCTTCACAGTCTTCCCACAGCTGTACTTGTTTGTACAGAGTTGCAGATAGATAAATGGGAGACCTCCTGGGAAAACTAGGTTGCTGCTGGAAGAGGAGTTTGTGAGGCCAGCAGGGGGTGCACACACTGTGGTGAAAAGCGCTATATAAATGTAATGAATTATTATTTATTATTATTATTATAGTCTCTTGCGGTAATACACATGGCCTCTACGTTTGATGACTCTTCCGTGATGCATGCGCCACATGCGCTTGGAGCCTCGGCTCACACGTCAGACCGTTCGGTGCGCCTGCAGCGAGGTCAGTGTCCTCTGACAGGCCGCGTTCTCGCGAGACTTCGACTCTGGACTACTGGACTATCGTTCAGGGTTACGCTTGACGGTGAGAAGCTATTTATGTATATATTTCTTCATATTTAACTTTTCATGTATAAGTTGATCATTTACACGCAATGGTGAATATATTTTGTGTACTTTGGATCGCGGAAGTGCTGGTTTTTGTTCCAGAAACTGTCAACTTGTCGGTCGTTGATTCCTGTCAGAAGAATATCTCGCTAATGTTACAGTCGTTTTGTATAAAGTTCATCAGTTTCGGTTGCGGTTTGTTTGACACATGACCGAACTGTTTTACGAATGCTATATATAACATGTAACGTTACCATGTTAGCTTGGTCTCAAGTTTAAAACCCTCCCGTATTTTGACCTACCGGTAGTGGTTGTCTAGCTGGCTAACTTAAATTGACGTTTAATATAAGGTACGGTGCAAGGTAAGCACCTTTTTCACACAAACGCAACATGTTTTGGTGTATTCCTAACTACACCAAAACATGTTGCGTTTGTGTGAAATGTCATTATTGTTTGTTTTTCTCTCTTGAAGGAAGCCACTGGCTCTTGACAACATGGCTGTCTCAAAATATATCGACTTGCCTACATAGACAGCATTTTTTGGCCGTCATACGTACGTTCCATACGTTCCAAACTCTGTTGAAATGGCCAGAAATTCTTTCTAAGTAGGCAACTTCCTGGGTTTGATGCACTGCCAACGTTGTCACTACAGAGAAAACACTAATACAAACTATTTTGATCGAGTTAAGAGTATTGACTAATTAACACAGTGCGGTCTAGGTAGGCAATTACTGGTTTTGATGCACTGCCAAGGTTGTCAAGACAGAAAAAAAAAAGACTAATACGAACTATTTTGATAGTTTAGATATGCTGTGCCTTCAAACCTAGTGAGCTGCCTATGTGTTACATTAATTTGTTTTTCAGATACAGTTCTGTCAAGGTAAACATGTCTCATAATGATGAAGGATATGTGGTACGGATCCGTGGTTTGCCTTGGTCATGCACACAGGAGGAAGTGGCCTCCTTTTTCTCTGGTATGCAAACTCTCAAACTGAAAGCATCTTTTGTAGCGCTCTGTGTGAGTTTACAGAAAAAGAGCTGCAGTTGTGATTTTCCTTTTTTTTTTTACTTACAGATTGTAACATTGCCGATGGACTACCAGGGGAGGAGCACAGGGGAAGCCTTCGTGCAGTTTGCCTCAAAGGAGATAGCAGAAAAGGCTCTGGGGAAACACAAGGAAAGAATAGGGCACAGGTGGGGCCGGCAAGACTGGGCTGGGTGCTAATGCTATCTCTAAATGTGGGGTGGGGGGGTCATGCATCTTTCTGCTCTGGAAAAAGATGGTATGATCATGTTATTATACTTAAAATGTTTAATTTTACATAACACTGTCATTAGGGGACAATATGCAGAAATATGATTTCATAATGTCATTGGGCGCAACATACTGCAGGAGCAAAGGAACCTTTTAATGAACAGGCACTTTACAATACTTTTAAGATTCCGTTTCTGTCTGAAATTGGCCTTTAGATACAGTTAAATTTTATGACTGGGCAGAATGTCAGACACTTACTACTTCTCCCTCTGGTCAATAACTGACAATAAACTGTCAGTTATTGTGATGCCATAATGAATTTAGTCAGTGGGCCCCAAGTATTGTCTTACCTGAAATCTTCCTCATTGCTGTTAAAACATTCAGCTGCCTGTACGTTTATTAACATGTTGCATTTCAAAATAAACTCAGGTACATAGAGATATTCAAAAGCAGTCAAAATGAAATGCGTGCATACTACGAAGTACCCCGGAGGATGATGGGACAGAGGCCTAGTCCATATGACAGACCCATGATGGGACGCGGGGGCTTCTTTGGGCCCGGGCCTGGAAGGGGAGGTGCTGTCCTGGACCAGATGCGCAGAGGCGATTACAGCAGCGGTATACTACTTTAATAGTGCTTTGTAACTTTATTAACTCTCACTGGGTTTTAGTTAACAAGATGGATAGCTAATTAACAAATGTGGGTTTGAATGGCTATATGCACTACCGATTCAAAAGTTTGGGCTCAGATGGAATAAAAAAAAAAAAAAGGAAATGAGTACTTTTAAACTGTGAAGGTGCATTAAATTGATCAAAAGTGATAGTAAAGAATTTATAACTTTACAAAAGATTTCTATTTTTAAATAAATGCTGATTCATCAAATAATCATTAAAAATGTATTACCCGTTCCACAAAAAAAAAGTATGTATTATAATACAAAATATTTCTTGAGCAGCAAATCAGCATATTAGAATGATTTCTGAAGGGTCATGCGACACTGAAGACTGAAGTAATGGCTGCTGAAAATTCAGCTTTCAATAGCAATAAAATTTCACAATATTGCTACTTTTTACTGTATTTCTGATCAAATAAATGCTTTGGTGAGTTTTCCTTCAAAAAAAAAATCTTACTGATCACAAACTTTTGAAAAGTTCTTTCACTGACAGGATGTAAAAAATAATAATTTGTCTCTCCTTCATAAGGATATGGTGGGTTTGAAGACTACAATGGCTTTAACAACAACTGCTTTGGTAACGGCATGTTTGAAGAGCACGTGCGTGATGATAGAGGAAGAGGAAGAATGGGGGGTCATAGCTACAGCAGCGACTCAAACTCAGGCTTTCACAGCGGTCATTTTGTGCACATGAGAGGCCTACCGTTCCGTGCTACAGAGGCGGATATCGCACATGTAAGAAACACCACAGATTTGCCATTTCTTGTGGATATTTTATTACATTATTTTGTTATACAGTGAAGTATTATTGCCCTTGTGTGAGTGTTTTATTTCTTTTTCAGTTCTTTGCCCCTTTAATTCCTGTGAGGGTGCACATTGATGTAGGACCTAATGGAAAGTCTACAGGAGAGGCAGACGTTGAGTTCGGATCTCACGAAGATGCTGTATCTGCCATGTCAAAAGACAAGAATCATATGCGTAAGTTGTCTCCAAACCTCTGTCTTAGTCAAACTGTAACACTGTCCTAATTGTTTTCAGTATCACATTTATCCTTGCACTGTTTTCCTCTCTGCAGAGCATCGTTACATTGAGCTTTTCCTGAATTCAACTTCAAGTGGGCCGTCCGAAATGGGTTAGTATGACTGCGTAGAGATTGTTGTTATGTAATAGTTTTGTTGAAGTGGATGAGAAGGTGTGAAGACAACATTCAAATCTAAGTCTTTTGTTTTGGGGGCATAAAAACACTGCAGGCCGTGGAGGAGGTTTCTATGGCAACTCTGGTGGTATGGGCTCTCGAGGAAGTGGACTAAGGGGGATGTATTGAGGATGCTTACAAATCATGCACTTTTCAACCCAAAGTTGGAACTTCCAGCTTGGAAGGTCTTTTTATATGAATATGTTTTCACATGTTCCTATGAAATATGCCCAAACTATTTTCCAGGCTTGAAGAAAATTAAATCTAAATCCATCTATATACATTGTAGTAAAGTGTAATTTCTTCAGTGTTGTCACATGAAAATATATAATAAAATATTTACAAAAATGTGAGGGGTGTACTCACTTCTGTGAGATACTGTATTTGAGCTGTTGCATATAGATTGACCGGCTACTATACATTTTGCTTAATGAATTTTATATGACATTCTGTGTTAAAGTCTAACTAAAGATATGCGCTTTGTATGTATTCTGACTCGAGTATGAATAGCTTGAAGCCCAAGTTGCGTGTGAGAGATTGTACTTTTATTTTCTTTCCCAAAGCAATAACATCATTTTGGGTGTTTACCAGTTTTTGCTGCTCAGTAAAATTTCTAATTGAAACCTGTGAAATTTACACATCCATGGAATAAAATCTTTTATTGATATATTTTATTTTTGACCTAAGAATGTTCATTGAAGACAAATGTAATGTAAAGAATAAAGTGTGACATCTTGCTTTTGGTCAAAGCTAGATGAAACATATGGCATCAGTACATTTATATATGTTTTTAATACACAGGATGATTTGTGTAGCCTTGAGTTTTGTACATTACCGTTTATACGTTTTTAAAACGTTTTGGTGGCATTTATTTAATTTTTATTTTAATATTTATTTAATATTTCACAAATACTATAAAAGTAAATAGTTAATGGTAATGTATTTTAAAGCTGGCAAAGTGGAATTTTCAGCAGCCATTACTCAAGTCTTCAGTAATTCAGACTTAAAGCTGCAGTCCGTAACTTAAACAGTAAACAGAACTGCGTGCGTCTTGCGGAAGAACATTGTAGCCGGAGCTACTTCTCTCTGTTTATGTCTATGGCGAATCACGCAGGTACTGGGCTACTCCGCAGCGGTACCTACCCGAACCAGTCTAAATAGTCCGAATATAAACACTTATTATAGGCATACCTTAGTGATTCAGGACAAGCCAAAAACACGGTTTGGAAAATGGATTCATGGTGTACTCGCTTATTATATCAATTTTGAACACAAAAAAAGTTACGGACTACAGCTTTAAGTAATTCTATACAATTTTAAACATCTATCTTCAGGCTGTGGTACATCTTTCAGCTGTAAAATCTTTACTGATTTTTGAAGTAGACATAACATTATTATTAATATTTCAAGATGAACAATTATTGAACTGAGGAAACTTAGGTTTACTTAATTACTTACAGCAGAGTTCATGTTCAAAACAGACAAACCAAAAAATATCTTACTGACCCCAAACCTTTGATTAATAGTGTGTGTACTGCAGCACCTAAATGCTAAGATCCATCACACGAGTCTTGGAATTATAATCAACTTTAGTGCTTTAAGGCATATGTATATTTTCATACATAAACGTTGTATTTCGAGTAATTATCCAAACAAACATTAGCACAAATACTCAAAGTGAGTAGTGTTCCAGTTCTGTACCAAAGTAAATCTGCAATTGTGAAATAATACCGTTTGCAGAAAAGAAACCTGAACATTATTATCTGTGCTATTTGATGTGAATCCACCTCAGTCATTCTTGAGCAGCACTGACAATATTTTTACTTGCATATACCCATAAATTTTTTGCCCATCTAGATTCAGGGAAACATTTAAAATCCCTAATTGTCAGTTTGGCTTGTTATACAGGCACACATGAATGTAAGGTTATGTATTTCAACTGAATTTGAAATATAATTGCTCAAGAAATTACATCCCTTTAAGTAACTGCATTTGCTCACTTTTGACTCTTGAGGAATGAAACCCGTTCACCCTTATATATCAAAAGTATACTTACAATGCATGGGAGTGTTGTACTAGTATAAATAATCTAAATCAGTCTACTTGCAGCCCAGATGGAGGCACTCAGAGTCATTAATCCATTTGTAAACTCATTTTCTTTCATTGCACGCTCTGTGACAAACACGGCATTGGCCATCTGCACAAGTGCCATTAAGTCTTCTCTGAGGCAACAGGCCTATGTGAAATGTAAACTTCAAACACAGAAACGTTGCATACATTTTGGTCACTTTGACGATGCTGGACAGTGCAGTCTGTGAGTTAAAGCTGATTTTGGCCCTTGTGACGATGTGCTGTCATTTCTATCTTACGTGGCATTGGAGGAGCAGCGCTGGAGGAGCAGAGCGTGGCAGGTGTCACAGACTCTCACGGGTTTGGGTGAAGCAGGGAGCGGCAGCTCATTATCCGAGCAGGCGTTGCAGAAGATCTCCCCACAGTTCCTGCAGTGGTGCTGTTCAAACAAAGACAAGCAAGAGAGCTTTCAATTAAAGGGCCTGTTGTTGTTTTTTGTGTGGTTTGGATCAGACTCAAAATGACTCCATGGGATCTTCACTACTGATATTCTGGGATTCATCCAAACAGTTGCTCTGGGTAATTTCCTTTTAGTTGTTTTTCATAGGAGTTAAATATATAAATCAGAAGTGTTCAGAGTAAGGTCCCCTTTAATGATAAAACAGGAGTAGTAACAGTTTTTTCCTGTATTGTGACACATCAAAATCAAATGGATTATCGAAATGAATAATGAATTATCAAACAAAAAAATGTAATGCAGGATTTGGTTCAATGCGTCAGTTGTTGATTGGATGGCGGCAGATCTGAATGTCAGCTTAATTGTATGAAAAGGGGCTGGGCTAAATCCGTGTCCCAATTCAGGGGCTGCATCCTAAGAAGTCCACAAATGTCGAGCTGAACGTTGTTAAATGGAAAAGTCTAGCTTGCCTATTCTTGTCGCCTAGCAACTGTGACAGCCGCATTTGACGAGCAGCAATAACATTTGAAAAGGACTTGAAACTAGAGATTACTGTTTATAAAGTTTTAAATATAGATGTATTTCTTACACAAATGCATCGATTGGCTTCAGAAGGCCTTTATTAACCCCCTGGAGCTGTGTGGAGAACTTTTTATGATGGATTTATGCTTCAAAATCTCGAACCCCATTCACTGCCATTATAAAGCTTGGAAAAGCCAGGACATTTTTTAATATAACTCAGATTTTATTTGTCTGAAAGAAAGTCATATACACCTAGGATGGCTTGAGGTTGAGTAAATCATGGGGTAATTTTCATTTTTGGGTGAACCATGTAATCTGCCATTTTCTCTCTCTCAAATAAAAAAAAGAAAGAAAGTCCTGTTGTCTCCGGGGCACGATGTCTAAGCCTTGCCACGTTGTATCCTTCTAGATCGGTACACAAAGGACTCAATTTGAGGCCGCATTTGAAGGAGACTTCGAAATGGGACAACATTTGTCGCACCACTGTGACGCATTCAATCTTGGGATGCAGCCTCTGAATTGGAACACAGCTTAAATGTTTGGAGAAGTCTGGCATGCGTCACCAGAAAGAAGTCTGTCATTTCACTGGAGGATCAAGTTATGACATTTTGGTTAATTATTAAGAGGTCCCAAAAAAATTTAACATGTATGGCTGAATCCTTCACAGTAGGATGGATAACAGGCATTTAGAATTTTTCTTTTCATTTCATGCCGACTTCAAGAGTACAGAGCATCATTTGCCAACTCGGTCTTTTATTCAGGCGTCATCTAATCCTTATTTGGAAATGTTTTCAAGTGCATAAATCCAATACGTTCCTTGTGCCAGTAAATTTCTTTATTTAGAGCAGTTGAATTAGTGTGGATGTGTGAGAATGGACAGCAAGCTGTGATAGAGACACCGTTGTGTATTACAGAATAGCATTTTGGTTCTGACCTTTCTTCTGGAGATTGAAAATTCCTTCTCACAAAGTTTGCAATGCGTAGCATCTTTGTCCTTCAGCCAGATCTGTCCACCCTGTTTAATATAAACATGTTAAACTACAGAAGGTTGATTAAATTTTGACAGTACAAAAAAACACTGTGGTGGTTTCTAATGGTACTTTGATCTATAAGCCTCATGTCTATAAACATGTTCCAGGTACTTTCTTGTTTATCTCAAACAATGTTTCAAACCTGAAGTGCCTTGTTGGCTTCTTTTATATCTTCGATTTTCAACTTTGACCTGAATAAGAAAAATGTGTATGAGTAAATAAATAACATGATTTGAAGGCTCCCAGATGACACTGATGTTTAAATCATACATACTCGCTGAGTTTGCAGCCCAGCTCCTCCAGCACCTGTTCCTGCTCCTCACAAATTCCCTTCAGCTGCGTATTCTCATCCTGCAACCTGTGAAACTCCTGAAAGGACACAAAGACACGTCAGAGCCCAATAGAGAATGTTTGTGCATTCAGCAAAACAAAAATATCCACAAAGAAGCACATTAAATGACACAAGCACTTTAGTCCTCATACAGATTTATTGTGGACCTAATGGTTACTATTAATTCTTCTTACTTTTTTGAGTCCGTTGATTTGCTGTGCTTCAGCAGTGAGTTGGGCGATGGTCTCTCGTTCTCTTTCTAAATCATTCTGTAACGTCTGCCGCCAGTCCCTTTCTATTTTCAAATCTGTTTCCAGCTGCATCCTAAATAAAAAGTGTCAATTAAAACCCACTTCCTATTTTCCACGCCAGCGTTAATGAGATGTTGTGAGACAAATTCTAAAATTCGAATTCTATTCTAGCCTTTGCAAAACTTACATTTGCTTCTCTCTCTGGGCAATCTGTTTTTGGAGACTGTCAGCTTTGTTTGTGAAGTCCTGCTTGAATTTGCGCACCCCGTCTTCGGCACCGGCACGTTCCCTCTCGGCATCCTGCAATCTGGTGTAATTCAAACCAACTGGGTAAAACTACGGCTCTGAATGTAATGGAATGGGCGGGAATGTATTGGAACATATGGGAAACAAAATAAAAAGATGGCCATAATTCAATAGCCACAATAGAGCGGGAACAAAAATACAGAGCCAGACGACAGAAATGTTGCGCTGCGGGAAAAGCCAGAAAGTTGAAACGAGTTGGCAATTTCATAAGGGTCGAGGCTACTTTGATTTTCTAACGTTTTTTTTGACAAATAATAAACAGTCACGAGTAGTTGAAAACATCAAATTTATTGA